TAAATTAAAAATTGATGGCAGCTCAGAAAGTGTTGTGCTCTGTCGCGTGTGCGCCTTGGTGGCGTTTCAGTGTCGCCTGGAGTCTCAGTCCCTCCCTGAACGTTCACAGCGAAGAGAATAAAAAGATCCCTTTGCAGATTACTGCTAAGCAAGGGCTTGCTAGCAGAGGCTGCGACTTCGTAGGAAGCAGGTGCAAAGTCTCCTCGGTGCAGAGCTCGGGCGACGGATGCTCAACATCTCTTGTAAACACGAGTACACATCACGATGGCGGCTGTGACGTTGGCGGCACACGGGTTTAAGAGCCTGGTGCATCTCTCCTCACCCCTCCCTCCCACCCCCCATCATCAAAACAATAATTCTGCCTGGATTTCTTCTGTACTGTGGGTTAGCCATTAAAGATAGAGATTTGGATTTGAATTGACACAGAGTGAAGGGGAACAGGAGCCTATGTGCTGTATATGTGGCAGGGCACGTGTGTGTGTGTGTGTGTGTGTGTGTGTGTGGTGTGCCCACATGTATGGAGCCGTGCACATGCCCTGTACTCTGGGGACAGCAGGTGATCGACCTCTTGGCTGGAATTCCCCGTAGGGCAGGTACAGGGGTGGTGGTTAGAGATGGACCCGGTCGGGTGGGGCCCCAGGAGCCCAGTATGTGGGGAAAGAACTCGCCAGGTGAGGCCTTGCTGAGCCCTCGAAGGGCCCCTGTTAACCTTGTCTCTGCGTTTCTGCCTTCTGCCCCAGATTCCTTCCCAGCAGAGCTGCGACATGGGGAAGTTTGTCTTGGGATCAAGTGCTCCCCCTCCACTTAACAACGATGCCCATTATTATTTGTGAAGCTTGATTTCATTGCTTCTAAACGCGTTTACCAGATGGGAGGAGACCTAGCCTTGTAAACAAAATGTGGTTTTGTTGTAAAAGAAAACTGTGTGTGTGTGTGTGTGTGTGTGACACATGCATGTGCCTGAGGAAATATATATTTGTTCATACACTTTAGGGCTGAACATTTCAGAAGCCTCCTCAGCCCTCTGATTTCTGACATTTGAGCCAGTTGCCTGCTGTATCCATTCATTTTTCCTGTTAATGAGTCAAACATTGTTGCCATCGCTGGCTGATAGTATACAGAGAGCAGAGATATTTTGCAGGGCCGCCTGACACTGGGGAAGTTTCATAAAAGCACCTCTCACCATATCTTTTGCCCTATTTTTTTAAGGCCCAGCTTTGCTGGATGTGGCTGTAGGAGGACTGGTTTGTGGGGCTTGGGGATTTGAAGGGCTGCTTTTCTTCGTCTCTTCTCTTTCCTGGGGTTTTCTCCTCTCTGGTGGAAGTTTTGACCTCCGAGGTGGTGCAGAGTTGGGGTTACGTAGAAATCAGGTGTCCATAGGACAGAGGAGGGGGCTCCCGAGGACGGGGCACCTTCTCACCTGCCTCTTCTCAGGACTTGGCTGAGTGGTTCTTTCTCCTTTTCTTTCTTTCATTATCGGTACAGTTCTAAGAAGGGACACACGCACCCTGCACCACACACACACACACACACACACACACACACATGCACGCACACTCACACACACCCAACAGGCCCAGCCCGGTATCCGCCTGCCAGCGGAAATGAAACCACAGTCTTTGGGGTGTCGTTGCAGGCCCTGAGCTTCAGGCCTGAGCTGCCTTGTCCCACCTGCTTTGACCCAGAAGTAGAGTGGTTTGGGGTTCAGGGGACTCTGCTGCCTGACGCTGAGGGCAACCTTCCCTCCAGGTGTCACATGGAGCAGGTCAGAGCTCAGTGCTCTGCAGCCTGGGGGTGGGGAGAGGAATCCCCAGTCTGTGGAGTTGACAGGGTGGACATGCTGAATTCTTGGGAGTTTTATTTTTCAAGGCTGGAAGTTGGAGGGGAAGGAGGGAGGGTTTTTTTTTTTTTTTGCCTCATTTCTTTTCCTCCCAACTCCCTCAGAGGCAGTGAGTTGGGTCCAGGTCTGGGCATGGAGACCCAAGTTCAGAGCTGAGCCTGGAGCCCTGGCTAGTCTTGGGCTGCCTGAGGGAGGCTGGCAGGGCCTGGCTCCCCAGGCTGGTTGGCTGTGAAGGGACTTGACACTGAAATCGGGTCTGTGGCACTGTCAATGGCACTGGAGACCTTCAAACTCAATTACTGGGGCTCACAGGGCTTGCTTCACGAGGATAGTGAAAGACAGGGACCACCAGAACACGGAGGGAGCACCAGATGTTACCCCCAGAGAGAGAGAGAGAGAGAGAGAGAGAGAGAGAGAGAGAGAAGAGCTGGTACAGAGTCTTGGCCAAGGAGGCCTGGAGACCGAGGGATGCTGGTGGCCAGGCCTGAGTGAACTTTGCTAATTTCAAAATTTATCTGTGTTTCTTTTGAATTAGGAAATGCATCTATAGCTTAACACTTCTAGCAGAGAGGAGGTCTCTTGGCTGGGCTGGCTAGAACATCTACCCAGGAGGGTGCACGTGGCTGTAAATGTTCAGAAAAAAAACAATAAAAAAGTCAGCTGAAGAGTCAATTAGAAGACAGAAACAGCTCCTGGCGCTTAGCAAGGGCGACCAAGTCGGGAATGTGGAGGCCACGTTGTTTTTATCAGTGCTGTGCGGGAGGCAGCGTGCCAGGCTGCTCAGGGGTGGCGTTTAGAAGGGAACCAGGTACCTACCTTGCCCCTGTTCCGTTTGAATTCTCAATTTCATTTTGTCCTTTTTTTTTCTTTTTTCAGCTCATTTCCTTTGTGCTTCTCTCTGTCTCTCTCTCTTTTTTTTTTAACAAAACAATATTTTGACATCCTCCTCCCATTTATTAGCGCTCCTTCTCTAGAAATGGCGCACAATACATCCTTATATTTCTAAAGAACTGTTTTCACAGCCCTCTCCTTTGGCTCTGAAATTATGTATATGTAATTGGTAATTAAAGGTGCGAGCTTTTCAATATAAACAGTATTGCTCAATGTTAGATCATTAAAGGGAAAAGAGGCACCGAATAATTACCTTTTACGTCCTGACAAACCGTTCACAGGCTTCTAGGCTCTCCCTCCAACCACTGTTCAGCGGGAAGCTTGTGATTACATTTGAACCATAGCAAAGCATCTTTTCATAAAATAAATTGGTAAATTAATTATGTAGCATTGTCTCCAAACTCCTTTTTAAGTAAACTCCGATTTCTTTTTAAAGTGTAATTAATGGTCTGTGGGACCGGCTTTGTGAGGACTGTTTCTTTACCTTGTCGGATCTTTTTGTTCGAGGTCTGCAGACGGCAGATGTAGGATTTCCTCATCTGCGGGGTGTTTTTGTGCTGCCACTTTTCTGACGCATTTCTACGTTTAATTCATCAAGGGCCCTGTCTGCCCTGCTGTAACCACAGGCAGGATCTCCAGTCGCGATTTCCCTTCTCAGCGATACCTGTTCCTCTCCCTGTCCACGCACAGTTCGGACGTGACGCTACGTCACCAGCCCCAGCTTCTGTGCTGAGTTTTCCCCACGGGCTCTCCAGGGCCCTGAGCAAAAGTCTGCGCTCAGAAAGCACAGAGCAGTGATTTCTATGTCGGATGGAAGATGCCACAGAATTTTTTCCTTAAATTATCTGTTCTTTGGCTCTGTCCTTTTGGTAACTTCACTGCCACGGAATGCGTTTCCCTCCCTCCCAGTCCTTCTCCCCGTCCTTCGGTGGTTCTCATTATCCTTCCCTAAATACCACGCGGCTGGAGATCTACCTGCCTCCTTGGCCTTAGACCCCGGGCTCCTCTGAAGGTCCTGCCACTTGCCCTGCCTACAACCCCACTGACGTCTGCTCTCAGAACATTCCAGGCCGAGTCTGCTCAGGCCTCAGGGACTCTGAACCCTGCTGTCACCCACTTCCCCTTATGGAGGACACTTTTGGCTGTGGACTTCTGCAGTTTCCCCTTGAGAGGGTGCTGAGTTTAGAGGCATCCATTAGCTTCAGAATATTCAGGTCCCATGCTCCTTCCCAGCATTGTCCCTGCGAAAACAACCACCAGAGGAAATATACTGGTGGCTAAAGAAATATAAAAACATACAGCCCATCGGACACGTGCTTAGGTATTTGCCAAGAAATGCTTTTGGAGTCTGAAGAATTTTTTTTTTTCTTTTTCTTTTCTATTTCTGAGCATGAAAGTAAAACCAACCAACAAAAAGGGGCAGAGAGGAGCGGATGGGTGCTGAGGGGCGCTGAGGGGTGCTGGGGAGCAGGCCAGCCTGCTCCCCTGTGCCGACCGCCTGGCCCCTGCGCCCTTCTGCAGCAATCCTGTCTCCCTTCCGTGGTTTTTGGAACCTGACACTCACTTGTCGCTTTCTGAGCGTGTGGGCTTCTTTCTCTCACAAGGACCGGCCCTCCACGCCCGTCTGGGTTTCTGTTTCCTAGTTTGGTGCGAGGCCAGGGCTCAGGTAGAGGAATGTGAGGAGGATGGGTATGAATGGGAGAACAGGAACATGAATGGCAGCGTCCCAGGGAAGGGAGGGCTGGCAGGTCTGCCCAAGCAGGGGGACCGGGCTCTGGCTCCCTGCTTCCCAGCCCGTCACCTGGGGAGCCTCACACAATGCTCATGTTCAGTCCCACTGTGACGGAGCCGGGGTGCAGCTGCCTGGGCATCAGGATATTTCGAAGCTCCCCAGGTGATGCTCAGATACCGTGAGGCTTGAGAGAGACGTCTCCAGCTGGTACTGTTCACCGCCAGGATGGGTGTGACGTGCGTGTGTACATGTGTGTTCGGATGCTGTGTTGGGGAGAAACTGGCAGAAAACACGCCAGGAAGCAGTAAAACCAGCACCACCAATGTGGTACCCTCTGGGAGTTCGGGTGTCTCTCCCGGGGCCTCAGAGTGCCTGGTGGGGGGCTGGCAATCTCTGGTCCTGGGGAGGGCACCGTGAGCCCCAGCAGCCAGCAGCAGAGGGTGTCTGCTTCTTGGAGGGGAAGGTGGGGAAGGAGCGCCGGGTGCCTGTGATCGCCTAAGCCCATCTCTGTCTTCTCTGCCCCTCCCCTGTCTCCAGCAGAGGCTGACCACGTGGAGGCCGCCATCCTCGAGGAAGATGAGGGTCTGGAGATAGAGGAGCCGAGCGGCCTGGGGCTGATGGTGGGTGGCCCCGACCCTGACCTGCTCACCTGTGGCCAGTGTCAGATGAACTTCCCCCTGGGGGACATCCTGGTTTTTATAGAGCACAAGAAGAAGCAGTGTGGCGGTAGCCTGGGTGCCTGCTACGACAAAGGCCTGGACAAGGGCAGCCCGCCGCCCTCGCGCTCCGAGCTCAGGAAGGTGTCGGAGCCGGTTGAGATCGGGATCCAGGTCACGCCCGATGAAGATGACCACTTGCTCTCGCCCACGAAAGGCATCTGCCCCAAGCAGGAGAACATTGCAGGTATGGAACGTGGCGTTCACCTGGCCGCTGCTGAGGCCGCCTCCCGGGTCCCACGCCCTTGGTCTGAGAGTGCTGGTGCTGCGGGAGGTCTGGGGGCTTCCAGGATGGCCTCTGGGGCTCCCCCTTTCCGAGGGCCCACCATCTGGGTGACCCTCTGGAGGAGATAGGCCTGAGGCTCAGGGATGCCCTTTGGCCTGGTAGGGCGCTTTGCTTTCGGCTTGGGGACTCAATGGTGGGGCCTAATCCAGAGGTGGCCAGGAACACAGAGTGGAGATAAGTCTGCGCGGTGCACTCTCTGCTGGTGATCTTGGCTCAGTCCCTGGCTTTGGAGCCGGACAGTCTGGGGTTGGAGTCTGTTCTTTACAACTGGGATCCATCAGTCTGCCCTGCCGTGAAGTGGGCTAGGGGACCCTAGTCTCCGAGGACTCTTGTGAGGACTGAGGAGACGGTGAGCGTGGCTGTGACTGGTAGGCCTCCCTGAGTGGGGGCACTTGTCTCCCCCATCTCTGAGGCTGCTTCTCACGTTGCCTGACCCCAAGGGTAGGTCTGGGGGAAGGGAGCACTGTGTCCCTTCAGGAGGTTGGACATGCCGCCTGGCTAACCTGCACAGCGTGTCTGACCACCTTCAGAACAGGTGTGGGGCTTTGCCTGCATCCCCCAGCAAGGTTCCTTTGCAGTGAGTCCTACCTCCTGGCCACACCATGGCATGCTGGTCCCCCCTGGGAGCCACTGCTCTGCGTGCAAACCAGACTGTTCATACTTCTGAACCCGGGAGGTCTGAGGGAGACAGGGGCCCCTGGCCTGGCTGTGTTCCCTGAGACTGCAGCCTCTCCTGGAGTGCGACAGGAATCAGAGCTCAGGCAGAGAGCAGTTGGAATCCTGCTGGTTGACTTGGGGCTGGTCACCTCATGAGCCTAAGTTTCCCCATTTGTCACCAAGGCACAATGTCCCTGCAGGCCTGGGATGAGGGTTTAATGCACGGGGGGTCCCCAAGTCCTTTCCAGTGCAGCTTTTCTCCCAGGGGTCCCCTCTGGCTCTGCAGCATGCCAGTAGGTGGCCTGCTGGGAAACTGTGTGGCTGGACCCCACAGTGAGGTCCTGGAGGCTGAACAGGGCACTGGAGGGACTGGAGGTGATAGAGGTGGGTGTGGCAGGGACCTCCTGTGACGCAGGAGGGTAATTCAGCAAGCCCATCTCCAGCACGTGGCAGCTTTGTGACTTGGGGCCTCCCTCTGCCCACCTGCACAGTGGTGTCCATGAGGTTGTTTGAGGTTCCTGCGGCCCGTGCTGGGCAGTGGGTGCCTTTTGGTGGGTGCCCAGCTTGAGATCATATCCTCCTTCCCAGAAGCAAGGGGTGATGCTGCATGGTTGGGACTCAGCCATCAGGAGAGAGGGATGCTGGGTCCTGGGACTGTGTGCCTGCTACTCAAGGGACAGTTTCCAGCAGTGGATGAACACCCGCTGTCACTGAACACAGATTTTTCAGGGGTGGCCTCTGGTGAGGTCCCCATTTATTCCTCAATGCACAGACCCACAGCTTTTACCCCAAACACCTGAATTCTCGTGCCACATTGAAGTTGTTTCCAAGGAGAGTCTTTGGGTCCCCATGGCGAGTTTAAGAAAGTGACTCAACATGATTTTATACCAGGAAAGGCTGATCTCCAAGGCTGCTTTGTCCTTACCCTCGGTCCCTCTTACACCCTGGGTTTTTTTTTCCTTTTCCCCCCTTTTTGGGTAGTAATACTGTAGCAGGCTCCAGTATTTTTATTTTATGTGTGACGAAAGATATACTTGGCCTTTCTGTTCGGCAACAGGACGAATGGATTTCTTCATTTTAGAAGAAATATGTAAAATAATCCCTCAGAAGTCTAAAGAGATATGTTTGTTCAAAGCATTTAAAATGTTATTTTAATCAAAGACACACCACAGTCTACACGCTGTGTCAGCGGCGGACGACCATTCCATTTAACAGCCTATCACGGGCTCCTTTCTAGTCCCCGTTCTTCCCATTTCCCTCCCTACTTTGGTACCAACTTTTCTTTTCGTTCCTTTTTTTTTTTTTATTTAATAAAAAAGGAAAGATTAAAGAATAAAACTTCAGTGGCTCAAATGTATAAAGTAATTTAATATGGTGGGAGCATTAATTATTTTAGCTTAATTGAATTCTGAGGACTGCAGTCGTTGCAGTTTTTGAAGACAAGCCCTGTTTATTATTTCTCTGTGTAGATTAACAGTAAAGGAAACACAGATAACTTTCAGTTATTTATTGTAAAATAAATGTGTCAATTCATGTGTAAAGCAAGCTGCTCAAAGATAATTGAGTCTTTATATTTTAAGAGGGGAACTAGGAATCATGGGTGCTTCTCTGCCCGGGCTTCCGGAAACCCGCACAGCTGCTGCCCAGGCCCTTGGCACGGCTGGCCTCGCTGGGCCCCTCCACTCCTGCCTTCAGGCCACGGCTCCAAGGGTCCTTCAGCTGCTTCATGGGCTGCTGTTGTCCCTATGGCCTCGTTGGCCCTGGCCAGTCCCTGGCAAGTGGTGGCAGTTAATTCTTGGGACCCTACCTCTGGCTTTGGCTGCTGGTGTGGCTGAGCCCAAGGCGAGGTGGCCATGAGGGTCCCCCTGTGCTGATCCCATGCCTCTGCTTTCCCCGCCAGGACCCAGGCTTTTCTCTTAGCAGGTGCTTCTAGAAGTGGGGACCCCAGAGATGGATGGGAGGGCTGGCCTAAGTAAGTGGGGTTCCCTCCTGTTCTTCAGTCCCCAGGGTGAGGACTACTGTGGGAACGGGGTCGGTCGTTGCATGGGGGTGTGGGCCCCGTATCAGCCTTCTGTCCTTTCCTTCCTTCCTTCTCTCGTGATAAATAGGAAGGTGAGGGGAGGCGTTTTCTGGGGCTTCATCTTCTGCAGGACATGCATCCATTCATTCTCTGAGCACCTGTGACCCTTTCCTGTCCTGGGCATCTAGGCTGAGAGGAGAGCCCCTCGGGGGAGGGAGAGGATGTCTCTGTGGGGACCGTGGCCCAGTGTGAGCTGGTGTGATGTTGCTCCAAGGCCAGACCTCCAGCATCTGCTGTGGTAGAAGGGCTTCCTGGCTGTGTGTCTCCAGGCCCGCCTGGGGGCAGGGCGTGGGTTCTGTCTTTGGCCTGGAGGTGTGCTAACAGCTGCCCACATGTGAGTCGTGGGTGTCCTGAGGTCCCTTCCTATGGCCTCTGCCTGCCCCTGTTGAGGTTCTCCTGGAGCACAGGGTCCCTGTGTGGAGGGCAGACGGGAGCTCCCTGGACCCTGGGAGGGGAGGCGAGAGAGGTTCTAGGTGTGGCAAAGAGCAGAAATCACTGAGCAGTTATCTGGGGGGGTGCTTGGAGGAGGACTGGGGAGGAGGGGACCTGGTATTTGGGGTTTGAAGGCCTTGTGCAGCTTGGGAAAGAACGCAGCCCAAGCAGGAACCTCCCCTGCTCCCCCCAGTCTGCGGCATGTGACTCGACCTCTTAGCCTCAGTTTCCTTGTCTGTGCGGGTACTTAATGATGATTGGGTGTTTTTTTTTTTTTTTTTTGGTGTGTGTGTGTTGGGGGGTACTGGGGGTTGAAGCCAGGGTCAATGAGCCATACTCCCAGACCTATTTTTTAAATTTTTATTTTGAGGCAGGGTGTCCCTAAGTTGCCCAGGCAGGCTTTGCATTTGTGATTCTCCTGCCTCAGCCTCTCAAGTTGCTGGGGTCACAGTTGTGAGCCGCCACACCCGGCGACGGTTGGGTATGTCTGACGTGTCTGTGCCTGGTACACGTGGACGTAGCCATGTGCACACATGAGCTGCTTCTTGGTGCTTTGCTGTTCCCAGCTCTGACATACTTTGGGGTGTTGGAGTAACCTGCGGAGGTCTCTTTGGAATGGGGCTCCCCGTTGAGAGTTGGGGAAAACGTCCTTTGGGTCTGAGGATTTCACTATCACAAACGCTGTCAGAGTGAACTGACTGCGGTTCATGTCTGCCCTCTGTCTTTTGTCACGTTATGTCACACAGTGACAGCTCTATGCTGGACTCACCCTGGGGAGGGGCTGGGGCCTGGCGTCTTCTGGGTTGAGCCCTAGTGTCCTTACCTGCTGGCCGTCCAGGTGAGATGCCTCACTTATTGGGCCTATCTCCACACCTACTTTGCAATGGTAAACCGAGGGCGAGATGAGATGGGGCTGGGAAACACCCCACCAGCCTGCAGGGGAGCCAGAGGCAGCTACCAAGACACTTCTAGAAAGCCGAGCTGAGGAAAGTGTGGACCCCGCTTGGCAGCATTCAGGGGGGCTTGCTTTTCTCAGTCAAAACGTTTGCGTACCGACCTGGGATTTCTAAGCGGTTTCTTCCAGACACTTCCTTAGCATCACCATTAATAGCACTGGAGCGAGGGGCCTGGTCCCTGGTCATTCAGGTTTCCAAGGTATCACCCCTTCCTTAGCCCAAAGAAGCTGCAGCGGGGAGGGTACTGGCCATCACTCATCAGTTTGCTTTCCCCCCTGTTCCCACAAACCCAGAACGTAAGTTTCTGGAGAAGTGCAAAGATAGGCAGCAAGTGACAGGAGGTAGCAGATCCCCCTGGGCTGGGAGGTGGCCGGCACTCCCTGCTGGGATGTCCTTGCCAGCTTTGTCTGTCTTCTTCTGGAACCTGGGAGTGGCCAGGGAGGAGCTTGGGGGGTTGTTACAACAGGCAAGGTACAGAAGGGACTTCAGTTTGGGGCCCAGTGACCAAGACCTATTGGAGAGAAGGGCTTCTGATGAGTCTCAGGATTTACATGCTGCTCTGGGAATATTTGCTTCAGACTTTAAAAAAATAAATAAAATAAATGCGAAAAATTATTAGCTTGGCCAGTGGAAGAAACTAAATAACTTGCTTGTGCTGGAAACTGGAGATAAACCCCACTCACAGGTTGTCTTGAGAAACTTGCATTTGATCTATTTGGAGTTGTTATTTTCCTTCCAAATTAAGATTAGTTAAATCCATGTGCGTTGTGGCATGG